AGAGAAGCTGTGGAATATTCACACAATGGAATACTATGCTGCATTGAAAAGCAAGGAACTCATAAATTAACATACAAAATGAGTGATCTTGGAGGGCATTATGCTGAGTGAAATAGCTCAGTCACAAAAAGACAAATACGCCATAATGCCGCTGTTATAAAACAGGACTGACATGGCAGCTGGGGGTAAACTGAGAAGATAGGAGATAAATAATATACATGGCATTGAAACAGATGAGGGAGAGAACTGTATAAAAGGAATATATGATTAGGTATTGTTATTGGCATGACAAGAGTCCAGAATAAGAGCTGCATAGTGAAGTGGTCTGGGGGTGGACTGTATAACAAGGAAAAAACAACCTGGGGAGGGGAGGGGGACAGGTAGAACATGTGCAACAATGAACGATTGTAAACCCAAGCTCTTTATAAACTTTCATTAAGATCAATAAAAAATTAAAAACAGATCTTTTATCTAGCTATTCTATTGCACAGTTCTGGTGGCTTTAGTGGTAAAGATTTTCACTGACAACTCCAAAGGAATGTTTTTCAAATCCACCAGCTGCTCAGCAAGAGAAAGATGGTCAATCTCCCCTCATATGACTTACTACCTCTGGAAACCCACTGGAGGGTCAACTATGTGTCGATTCTGACTCACTGGTACACAACAATATATCATTACTGAGAATATAGTCTGAGGAAAATCAGAGTTGATACATGAAACAGGCATGTATACCTATATTTATTGCAGCATGAAATGCACAAAAGCAAGGAGATCAAAGCAGACCATGTGTCCATAAACAAATAGAAACATTGTGTTGTGGTATATACACACAGTGGAATACTACGCACCATTACAAAACAATGAAGAACTTGTGGAACACTACACAGTATGCATCAGTCTAGAGGACTTTATACTGAGTGAAATAACTCAATCACAAAAAGGCAAACACTGTATAAAAGCTCTAATGAAAATAGGAGGATAAGGGGGGAAAACAGGGGGAGCAGAAATAGATTGGACAGATAATGAATACTGTAATGGATTACTGTTAGTTATCACTGAGGCAGAACAGACTCATAACTGACCCTCCAGTGAGTTTTCAGGGGCACTTAATTCCACGGGAGGAGACTGCCCATCTTTCTCCCGTAGATCTGCTGGTGGATTTGAACTGCATTCCTCTGAGTTGGCATTGCAACTCCTTACTATTAAACCATTAGAGCTCCCTTAACGGATTAGAGGAAGGGAAGAACAACTACAAAAAACAATTTAGAAAAAGACATGCATAACTGATCAAATGGGGAGGGTTATAGGAGAGAGGGTTTAGGGTGGGATGATGTTATATATAAACATTTTTTAAAAGGAAACTTTTACCATAAAAAAGATACGTTATAAAAAATTTCTAAATATAATCAAAGTGATTGGGAATTCATGGAAATACATTTCACTATGTATATTGTTCTGGAGGGAGGATGAAAGACACCCAAGCATTGAGGACTCTCTTGCTATGAGTCGCCTGTGACTCATCGGCACTTAACAACAACATGTATATTGTTATTAGGTGCCACCTCATTGAATTATAACTCATTGTGATACCGTGACAGCATAGAACAGCCCATAGAGTTTTCTGTGCCTAATATTTATGAGAGTAAATTACTTGCTCTTCCCCCTGTGGAAACAGTGGGTGAACTTGAACTTTGTAAAAGTGTAGCATTAGCCAGCATTCATTTAATATGTTTGTTCACTGAGCAGTTACTGAGCTAAATTTTACTATGAGCAGATGCTCCAGTAGTAATATGTACATTTTCCTGACACAAACTAATGTAATTTCTAGGACTTACACAAGATGTGGGGGCCCAATGGATGAGGGTTCTGCTGCCTAACCAACAGCAGGCGCTTTGAGTCCACTGACTGCTCTGTGGGAAGAAGATGGGCATTCTCAGCCTGTGTGATTTACAGCCTCTGAAAACCTGCTCGAGGGTCAGCTTTGGGTTGGTTCTAACAATATTTTTGTTAAGGAACTTTGGTGACATAGTGCATAATGTTTTGGACTGATAAGCTAAAGGTCATCAGTTCAAATCTTCCAGGTACTATACTGGAGCAAGGTGATCAGTACCCTCCTATAAAGTTTTATAGCATCAGAAACCTGGTGTAGAGTCTCTGCTAATTGGAACTGGCTCAGTGGAAAAGGGAATATTTCTTTACCATTTTTCTTTAAAAGTTTTGAATAAACTTAGACCCTCTTTTAGTTCAATAAATGCAAAGCACATTCAGAAGTCTTGGGGGAAATGTATCTAGCTATTAAAAAAAATTGTTAATGAATTCTTTAAATTTTTTTTGATTCTTAAATACCAAATTCAAGGTATTTAAATGCCAATTTTACGGATTCTGTTTTCAGCTTTCATTTAGAAAATTCTGCTATGGTTTAGCTTGAAATAATTGCCTAATTTTTTCCTCCTTGACAAGATAATTTTAGAGACTGAAAAAGCACAAAATAAATCTCCTTCCAGACTTGATTCTTTTGTCAAGACTTTAGAAGCAGACAAAGATTACTATAAGAGTGAAGCTCAAAATTTGAGAAAGATGATTAGAAGTCGATCTAAAAGTCCACGACGCCTGTCTCCATCTTCCAGGGTAGGTTTTAGAAACATGTGTTTGGAATGTTTTCCCCAAACATTGTTTTCTGTTCTTTTCATTTACCTAATCTGGGAAGAAACTTATTTTGATTCACCATCAATTGTTATATAAAAGAGGTTGAGCAACAGAGATATCTTTGATAGCACAGTGGAACTCGCCTGTTGGTTCCTTATCCGCAGTGTTAGTAGTGGGGATTGGAAGATGATCAGGCAAATGTAGAGGGATTTGGGATGAGGCTTTTTAAAAGAGGAGCATTTTTGTGACCTTTTCCCCTTTAGTTCCTCTTAAGATTTTACTGAGGTTACATAACTTGAGTTTACAAATTGCCATTACAGTCTATTAGTACTGCATGTCAAAGAGGAATTTAAAATCTCTTGTATAATAATTATAGGGTGCAAACTGTGATGTAGAACTTTTGAAGACAACAAGAGATCGTGAAGAACTTAAATGCATGCTGGAAAAGTATGAGCGTCATTTGGCAGAAATTCAGGGTAATGTCAAGGTTCTGACATCTGAGAGAGACAAGACTTTTCTTCTTTATGAACAGGTAAACTTAAAAAAGTATGTATTTAGTTCTAGAATATAGACTTCTTTTTAAAAATAAATTTTTAACTGTGATTTTTAACCAAGATTTACAGAGAAGTCAGATTTTTATTCAATCATTGTTGCACATTTTACCCTCTCTCCCTTTCTTCCCTATAACCAAGTTCACTTTTTAAAAAAAATATTCATTCCCTGTTGCATAATTACTGACCTTCCTTGCCTCCCCTCAGTCCTTTTGTTCTGGGCTGTTGATGTACATACAATGACTAATCATATATTCCTTTTAAATAGTTCATTCCTTCATCTGTTCCAAAGCAATGGTCATTATCTATCCACTCATATACTGTTCTCCTCCCAAATCCCCCATTTCAGACCTAGTTTATAACAGTGGTGCTGTGCAATATTTGTCCTTTTGTGACTGAGATATTTAATTTAGCATAAAGTCCTCCAGGGTCATTTATGTTGTGTAATGCTTTACTATTTCAATGTTTCTCAGTGCTGTGTAGTATTCCATTGTATGAACATACCATAGTTTTTCTTATCCATTCGCTTCTTGGGTACTTGGATTGCTTCCATCTCTTTGCTATTGTAAATAACACAGCAACAAGCATGGGTGTGGATATATCTGTTTGGAAGGCTGTTCTGGTTTATTTAGGATATATTCCATGGAGTGGCATTGCTGGTTCAAATGGTATTTCTATTTCCAACTTTTTGAGAAAATGATAAACTGCCTTCCATAGTGGTTGCACCATTTTACACTCCCACCAGCAGTGAATAAGGGGTTTGGTCTTTCCACAACCTCAACAGCATTTGTTGTATGCTGCGTTTTTTATATATTGAATTTTGCTATTATTGCTGGAATGAGATATCTTATAGCTGTGGTTTTAAAAAAAATTTTAATAATTCTAATGAACATTTAAAGATTTTGGATTTCCATTCATTCATTGCTGCACTTCATTCTCCATCCAGCTCCCCCCCCACCCCCGCCACCCCTCTCCCAGCTCATAGTTGTTTTGATTTGCAACTCTCTCTTAGAGCTAGGGATTTTGAACATATCTTTATGTGTTTGTTCGCTATCTGAATGTCTTCTTTGGTGAAGTGTCCATATCCTGTGCCCATTTTGAGATTGGGTTGTTTATCTTGTAGAGGTGCTTGTGTATTCTATAAATTTTAGATATAAGTCCCTTATCAGACATTTTCCCAGTCTGTGGCTTTACTTTTTACCTTGTTGGGGAAGTTTTCTGATGTGGATAGGGATTTGATTCTTCTTGTTATGTGCCATCGAATTGCTTGCAACTCTTAGTGACCCTATGTACAAGAGCCCTAAATGCCGTTCTATCCTGTGCCAGCCTGGCTGTCTCAAACACACTCATTCCCACCACTCCACTCACAGAATTGATCCATCTCATCGAGGGTCTTCTTCTCCTGCGCCATCCCTCCACTCTCCCAAACATGATGTCCCTCTCAAAGGACCAGTCCCTCCTTGCAACATGCCCAGAGTATGTCAGATGAAGCTTCAGAATCCTTGACTCCAAGAGAACAAACCTGTTTGTTCTCCTAGCAGTCCATGGTATATTCAACACTCTTCTCCAGCACCACAGCTCAAAGGCATAAATTCTCTTTCTGTCATCCCTATTCATGTCCAACTCTCCGATGCATAGCATGTAATTGCAAAGACTATAGCCTGGATCAGGTGCACCTTAGTCTCCAGCCTGACATCATTGCTCTTTAGTACTCTTGAGAGGTCCCTCACAGCTGACTTTCCCAATGCAATTTGTCTCTTGATTTCCTGGCTGCTGTTACCAAGAGTGTTGACTGTGGAACCAAGTGAACTAAAACTGTTAACTATCTCAATCTCTTCACCATCCATACTGATGCTGCCAATTGACCCAGTGGTGAGAATCTTTGTTTTCTTGATGTTGAGCTTCAATCCATATTGAAGACTGTAGTCCTTGACCTTCTGCAGCAAGCGCTTCAGGTCCTCTTCAGTTTCAGCAAGCAGGGTTGTGTCATCTGCATAACTCAGGTTGTTGATGATTCTTCCACCAATCTTGATGCCACATTCCTCCTTGTACAACCCAGTGTCTCAGATGATCTGTTCTGCATACAGATTGAAAAGGTATGGAGACAAAATACATCCCTGATGGCCCCCCATCTTGATTTTGAACCATCCAGTGTCTCCCTGCTCTGTTCTGACGACTGCCTCTTGGTCCAAGTATAGGTTTTGCATTAGCACAATCAAATGATATGGGATTTCCATTCTTCTCAGAGTCAGCCATAGCTTGTTGTGATCCACACAGTAAAAAGCCTTTGCATAGTCATGCCTCTGTTCACATACTGTTCCAAACGTTTTTGGATAATTTTCAGCATGTGATATCAATGATATTGTTTGATAATTTCCACACTCTGTTGGGTCACCTTTCTTTGGAATGGGAACAAATACTGATCTCTTCCAGTCAGTTGGCCAGCTGGCTGGCCTCCAGATTTCCTGGCACAACTTAGTGAGCACATCCCGGGCAGCGTCTGTTTGTTGAAATAAATCAGTTGATATGCTGTCAACTCCTGGAGCCTTGTTTTTTGCCAATTCCTTCATAGCAACTTGGACTTCCTCCTTCAACACCATAGGCTCTTGCTCATATGTTATTTCATGAAATTCCTCTGTGTCAGCCAATTCCTTCTGATACACTGACTCTGTGTACTCCTTCCATCTTCTGTTGATACTTACTGGATCATTCAACATTCTACCCAAACTATCTTTAAGTATTGCCATCTGTGGCTTGAATTTGTTTTTCAACTCCTTCAGCTTAAGAAACGCTGAGTGAGTCTGACCCTTTTGATTTTCTGACTCCAGCTCTGTGCACATTTCATTATAGTATCTTGCTTTGTCGTCCCAAGCTGCCTTTTGAAATTTTCTGTTCAGCTCTTTGATTTCTTCCTTTATCTTTTGACTTCTCAGCCCTCTAATGCAATACTCAGAGTCTCATCTGACATCCATCTTGGTCTTTTCTTCTTCTTCATCCTTTGTAATGATCTTTTGCATTCTTCATGGACGATTTTCTTGATATCCTTCCAGAGCTCATTTGTTCTATGCTCATTGGTGCTCAAGGCCTCAAACCTGTTCCAGATATGGTTTTGAAATTTGAGTGGGATAGAATTAAGGTCAAATCTTGGTTCCTGTGGACTTGATTTAATTTTCCTCAACTTCAGCTTGAACTTTCATATAAGTAGTTGGTGGTCTGTCCCACAATCAGCACCTTGCCTGGTTTTCACTGCTCATATTGAGCTTCTCCAGCGAGGCTTTTTACAAATGTAATTGATTTCATTCCTACGCATACCATCACGTAAGACCCATGTGTATAGCCTGTGTTTATGTTTCTTATATTTTTATATTCTTATATCTTTGCAATCACTTGTTATGCATCAGAGAGTTGGACAATGGCTAGGGAGGACAGAAGGAGAATTGATGCCTTTGAGCTGTGGTGCTGGAGAAGAGTATTGAATGTACCATGGACTGCGAAGAAAACAAACAGATTCAT